CTTTAAATAACTTCTTAGTAAATATTGTTTTTGTTCCATCTTGTACATCAACATAAAGATACTGAAACAATCAGAACAAATCTATGACACTGAGTACAACATCTGTAATCTTCACATTTCCTGCACTTTTTGCTTTGTTCTGGCAGCAGTTCGCTCTCGGCGTTAGGTTGAGCTGTAGCCAAGCTGGGAGACATTAAGTACCCACCTATTCGACTACCTGAATAACAGTTATGATTTAATGGTTTGCTTATTGACAGTATGTCTAGGTTTCAACATTTCAGTATAAGTGACCATGCCGCCTGTGGACATCTTCTTTATGTGACCCATAAGTATGACGTTTTGAGGATGAACGGGATGCGGGCGATCGTAAATGTTTTTTCATGTATTTCACTTTGGCGGACTATCAAATATCATGATAAGTTGATACATTCAAAAATGACCAGAAACGAACATGCACTCCGTTCTCAGGTGAAGGAGCTTCAAATATTACATGTGATTTATAGACGATTTCTAAAAGGATCAAACAGTTGTATGATGCAATAACACTATTGGACTGTATCTTGTTTCTAAATGTGTAACAAACAATGTTAGGTTATCACACTTGTAGGTCCTCTATATAGTTCAAGAGCTTAACCTAGTCACTAGAGGTGCATTATGTGTCATGTGTTCTACATACACTGCACTCTCTATAATCACTTTGTTATTTCAAACTGATATTTTTGTCTGAGTATCAAAAATAGCATAATTGATAGTTACTTATGAATGTTTTTGCTATGATTGTCGTTTCGTGATCAGCTAAACCATTTTGATAAGGAGTCGATTTGTGTGACTACCTCACTGAACAACATACTGGAGGCCAGCCGCATGATATCATTAGCAATTAGCGTAAAGTTGCCAAGAACACAACCACATAAACACAGATACCTGAGAATCAACTTCCTGAGAAACACAAAACCGCCACGGGTTGAGAGCGTCGAACCTCGAACCTCGGTTCTTTATTTCATGTAACAAATGAGGTAAGGTTTGTCTCAACCCATTACAATACTAATATAATTAAATACTTAATGCATAGCAATACTAACTACTCACTGCAATACTGAAGTCATCACAATACTAAACCCACCACAATACTAAACCTATCACAATACTAAACCCACTACAAGACTAAACCTATTACAATACTAAACCCGCCACAATATTAAACCCATTACAATACTAAACCCATCACAATACTAAACCCATTACAATACTTAACCCATTACAACAGTAAACCCATCACAATGCTAACCCACCACAATACTAAACCCATTACAATACTAAACCCATTACAATACTGAACCCATTACAATACTAAACCCACCACAATATTAAACCCATTACAATACTGAACCCATTACAATACTGAATCCATTACAATACTAAACACATTACAATACTTAACCCATTACAACAGTAAACCCACCACAATACTAAACCCACCACAATACTTTACCCAACACAATACCAAACAAATCACAATTCTGAACCCATAACAATATTAAACCCATTACAATGCTGAACCCATCACAATACTAAACCCATTACAATACTTAACCCATCACAATACCAAACACATCACAATACTGAACCCATTACAATACTAAACCCACCACAATACTAAACCCATTACAATACTAAACCAATCACAATACTTAACCCATTACAATACCAAACCCATCACAATACTGAACCCATCAAAATACTAAACCCACCACAATACTAAACCCATTACAATACTAAACCCATCAAAATACTAAACCCACCACAATACTAAACCCATTACAATACTAAACCCATCAAAATACTTAACCCACCACAATACTGAACCCATCAAAATACTAAACCCACCACAATACTAAACCCACCACAATACTAAACCCACCACAATACTTTACCCACCACAATACTAAACCCACCACAATACTAAACCCATTACAATACTAAACCCATCAAAATACTTAACCCACCACAATACTGAACCCATCAAAATACTAAACCCACCACAATACTAAACCCATTACAATACTAAACCCATCAAAATACTAAACCCACCACAATATTAAACCCATTACAATTCTGAACCAATCACAATACTTAACCCATTACAATACCAAACCCATCACAATACTGAACCCATCAAAATACTAAACCCACCACAATACTAAACCCATTACAATACTAAACCCATCAAAATACTAAACCCACCACAATACTAAACCCATTACAATACTAAACCAATCAAAATACTTAACCCACCACAATACTGAACCCATCAAAATACTAAACCCACCACAATACTAAACCCATCAAAATACTAAACCCATCAAAATACTTAACCCACCACAATACTGAACCCATCAAAATACTAAACCCACCACAATACTAAACCCATTACAATACTAAACCCATCAAAATACTTTACCCACCACAATACTGAACCCATCAAAATACTAAACCCACCACAATACTAAACCCATTACAATACTAAACCCATCACAATACTAAACCCATTACAATACTGAACCCATCACAATACTAAACCTATTACAATACTAAACCCTCCATCACAATACTGAACCCATCACAATACAGAACTCATCAAAATACTAAACCCACCACAATACTAAACCCATTACAATACTAAACCCATTACAATACTAAACCCATCAAAATACTAAACCCACCACAATACTGAACCCATCAAAATACTAAACCCACCACAATACTAAACCCATCAAAATACTAAACCCATCAAAATACTTAACCCACCACAATACTGAACCCATCAAAATACTAAACCCACCACAATACTAAACCCATTACAATACTGAACCCATCACAATACCAAACACATCACAATACTGAACCCATTACAATACTAAACCCATTACAATACTAAACCCACCACAATACTAAACCCATTACAATACTAAACCATTACAATACTAAACCCACCACAATACTAAACCCATCAAAATACTTAACCCACCACAATACTGAATCCATTACAATACTAAACACATCACAATACTGAACCCATTACAATACTAAACCCATCGAAATACTTTACCCACCACAATACTGAACCCATCAAAATACTGAACCCATCAAAATACTAAACCCACCACAATACTAAACCCATTACAATACTGAACCCATCAAAATACTTTACCCACCACAATACTAAACCCACCACAATACTAAACCCACCACAATACTTTACCCACCACAATACTAAACCCACCACAATACTAAACCCACCACAATACTAAACCCATTACAATACTAAACCCACCAAAATACTTTACCCACCACAATACTGAACCCATCAAAATACTAAACCCACCACAATACTAAACCCATTACAATACTAAACCCATCAAAATACTTTACCCACCACAATACTAAACCCATTACAATACTGAACCCATCAAAATACTTTACCCACCACAATACTGAACCCATCAAAATACTTTACCCACCAAAATACTTTACCCACCACAATACTGAACCCATCAAAATACTTTACCCACCACAATACTAAACCCATCGAAATACTTTACCCACCACAATACTTTACCCATTACAATACTTTACCCACCACAATACTTTACCCACCACAATACTAAACCCATCACAATACTAAACCCACCACAATACTGAATCTATCCCAATACTATACTGAACATACATGTTTATTGACACAAGTTAGTCCAATACTAGATCTATACATGTCCATAGACATCAAAACGAAATATTTTGTTCAGACCTAGAATTATATATTTTTTCATGGTAATTGTGTGAACGTTATCTATGCTTCATAATGTTAATTTAGAGTTTTTATGTCAATTGGTAATTACTGAGATACAACATAACGTGAAGAGGACACTTTTTTATCAGACTTTTGTGCTGCAGTGAAATAGATGCTCATTTCAAAGACCATTAACTTTTTGGCAGGAACGTTTAACAGACCATCTTCCAGGGCACGTTTTTTCTAAGTTAGATCGTTAGCAGTCTTTATGAAAAGATAAGATACCATCCTATTCTTTATTGATTAGGGGGAGTTGGGTAGCACTTTTACTCGTTAATAGCAAATGCTTTGTAATATTTTCTGATATGTAATTAGTTTTTGTTTCTGATGTGCAACTCGTTTTAGTTTCTGATAAGTAATTTTCTTTAGTTTCTGATATGTAAATAATTTTAGTTTCTGATATGTAATCAGTTTCAGTTTCTGATATGTAAATAATTTTAGTTTCTGATATGTAATCAGTTTCAGTTTCTGATATGTAAATAATTTTAACTTCTGATATGTAATCAGTTTCAGTTTCTGAAATGTAATTACTTCTAGTTTCTGATACAAAATTAGCTTTAGTTTCTGATACGTAATTAGGCAAAATTGGTTATAGTGTGTGACGGTTGGACAGAATTGATTATCAGACGAAAATAAATATGCATAATATGGAAACTTCGACATGCGTTTTCGTTCCCAATTTTCCAATCTGGCAAAACTACAGTCTGTCATTCTTACAGTCATCTTTCAACGTTTTACGACAGTTCAAAGACAGACGACCTAATAGAATTCTGAAGCGTGCTACGATAGTCAGTGTTCAGCTACCTAGTAAACTATAATTTTCAAACAGATACAATCGGTTAGGTATCCTTATCTTTTCCAACTGTCCACAAAACAGAAGAATATACTGTAAAATGCACATTTTCAAGAGACAACCATACAAATCGACATTTTAAATACCATTACAAGGACAGCCATATCGACGGATCCAGACAATCAAAATGCTCCCAACATGCTGAGCCGATGAAAATGAACATGTTTGATACATATTTGAAATCATAAATGTACGTGATAACTGTATTTGTTTTCACGAATATTCCAGATCCAAATATCTTAAATTTGTCAAACTTTTCAATATTACTTCAGTACATTGCAAAGATGACATACTCACTGTGAAATCAACTTCATCTGTAGTCCGGAATATTTCTTGTGTCGATGAAAATGCACACTGTTTAATCCTTTAGTATCATCTCCACGGGAAATTTCCAAACAGGGCAAAGCTATTATCGAAAAAAATATTAAAGGAATAGATTTTTCTTGAATCACTTAAAACACTAATCCCAGTCAGGAGCTGAAATGTTTACAGGTAGTAATATGTTTCTGTTCACAGGTGTTGTAGACTGTTATTCTATACTAAAAGCCAAACATCTGACTTTCTCTTTCACATCGCACACTTAGTAGTGCAGGTTTTCCCGTACAAATGAAAAGTTTAAAGAGAAATTGTTTACAAAGTCAAGTCAAACCTGTAATGCTTCCAATTTAAATACCCTCGGCAGATGATCCCAGGTAAAACATGAAAAACATTTTGTATAATGTGTGGTCACACATATATGTTACACAGTAAACTTAGATGTTGAGAGCGGTCTCTAATACCGCGTGGTCTATTAGCAGCGCGCGAATAGAAATGAACACACACTCGTCGCATTTCACCAATGCACCGCTGAAATCACATGTGTATAGCAATACTCTTAAAAGTCACCGAGCTGCTTGTAAAGTGAAATAGACTGTGATTTTCTGCGTAAAGGATTAAAACTCCATCAACTATATGTTATAGCTAACATATATATATATCCCTGACCGACTGCTATATACATATAATTTGTTATGAACTAAACATATATGTGAGCATATATATAAGCAGACATCTACTACCATGTCTATATCGTCTCGCATAGATGCAAATCCATTTAAAACGCGCCCCTATCTTTTACTGCACATAGTACAAGTGTCAAGATTTTAAACATGCTCTTTTCCACCTCGTTGAAGACAAAAGAACAGTCATTTGACAGTCATTTTGCTTGACAAAGGAAAAACCTCAAAGCGGTTATAAACAGTTCACATACTTATAATCTTTAAAACTGAGAATAAAACCACCTTAATTTTGCGATTAGATTGAGTGAATCGTGCCTGAATCAATGGGTAATTGTAAACAGATTTTCGAAATGTCCACATCTTCAAGACAGCTCTGTGTAAGAATGCAAATTATCTAAGATGTTTATTTTTTATCCATTTAGACAAATGTGACGCCTTTTCCACTTGAACAGAAATATGAGACTTTCAAACAAATATAGCTAAGCTTTATAAGTGAAATAAACACCTGTAATCAATTTTCATTGTAAACTTTAACATGTATGTACTCTATTGAAAGAAACGTTTGTTATGAATGAAAATCATTCTCACACCGAGGAGGAAAGCAGACAACATGATGTGATATTTTCTCATCTGACACTGATAATATCTTTCCCTGATTGTGTACGATGGAGCATTTCTATATAAAAATCCATACCACAGTAATCTTCAAATTAAAAAAAAACAGTGCAACGAAATTTATTTTTTACATCAAAATGCTTTTTCGGTGGCCACGGTTTCACATTCTTAAATTTAGTAGCGGAATTTAAACAGGCTTAAGGTGGTAAAGAACAATTTGTATTGACTTAAATGAAATTTACTTGTGAAACTGACAAGGCAGGTTTATGTCTCATGTAAGTGATTTTCAACTGCATAACTACGACGGAAAAATATATCGTGTACGCTTGAGAGACAAGATTAAATAGTTAATTTATTCAGATTTATTTCAATTTTACCAGCTGCTCTGATAACGCATGCGTAACATTATAATCATGTCAATATATAATAGAAAGGGTCTGTATCTTCAATTTTGTTTGAAAACTTGTTTATAAAACCTACAGTATAATATTTCATGTATATTGAGTACCTGCTGTTGAATCGGGCGATCCGAATCTGAATTATATTGGGGACGTGGTCTGTATTGTCAGTTTGACAGCATGGATACAATTCGACAGTAATATGTTAACACATTCATGATCATAAGAGAGGTTCGTTTGGCCTGCATAGATACTCTGTTCTTTCGGCAATTATGAACAAATATGCATATTACGTATACTTGTGTATATTACACAGAATTTCCAATCTTGGATCAACAGTGGCAGCCAAGCTGTATGATCAACGTGAAAATTTCCATTTCCCTGCTGCAGATATTCCATTTCTGGACAGCAACATACCTGCATCTCCCACCAATAGTGTTAACATATCATATTTGATTCGATATGCAATGGGTTGTTCTCAATATAATGATTTTCGCAGACTGGTAGACTAACTCACAACACAGAGTAACGAGAGATGAAGGTTAATAAAGTTTTACGGTTGTCGTATAGATTTCATTGCGAAATATTTATTTTCCTTTTACGATAGGAAGTTGGACATGTTGAAGCTCATTAGTATACCTTTTGGTTCCGTTGCTGTTTACGGTGTTCTTGTATAGGAATGTTACATTACTTGCATTGACCAAAGTTTACATGGCGGGTATCATCGTTGAAGCAGAAGCCACTTACGCTTCAGAAATGCTTGGCCATATTCTGATTGTTTTTTTCTCTGTAGTCTCCGGTGTAAAATTTTTTTCTTTGGTTCATATTTCACATTTCTTTGTAGTTTTACTGAACTTTCATTAGATTCTTTCCTATAATCAACACGACCACAAGAACAAGGGTAACAGAAAAAAATTACCCCTTAATTCCGTACTGGGTCCCACTGATATACCTTAGAAAGTCAGAACCTCCGAACATCGGCTAAATAAGAGCCCCTTTCACGCAAGGGCAACATTTGGTCAGAATCTCTTTATTCAAACCAAAGAAAAAAGAGAGAAAGCTTTTTTTCTTCTCACGGATACACAAGTGTACTCTTGGAGCTGATGACGTCATATTGTATAAATAAATCCGTGACGTCGCTCGAAGGACGGAACGTCACGTTGATGATAAATCCCCAGGCGGTATAAAATAAGAAAATTGACTATGGATTTGACAGGAATAGAAAACGGACAATACATTGCAAATTGAGATTTCTAATTGCACCTTAGCAGAATGTTATTTTTAAAAAATACATCTTGTCAAGGTTTTGAGGTATTTCCTCTGCACCAACCGCTGCACACGATACAGAGGTTTTAATTGAAATCTAAAGGGGCAAATCTGGTGCATACTACTTAGACTAATCGGAAAGAATGTCCTTTAAACTGCCTATTTGTTAAATAATGGTATTTACAAGGAGCTGCGCCAAGTACTCCTTACCATTTCCTGGCATTGGTGCCTATCTAGAGCCAGCGCTCATCTATAAACCGTCCAACCCGTGAAATGCCGTTTGTAGATATATATCGAAACAAGCACTTTGGGAGGAGTAGACTTTTTTGCCATGGCACGCCTTGATTGAGTTTGTTACGTGTAAATTTCTTGAGATGATTAACACAAAAACATGGATCGGTACTATCTTTAACAAAAAATATATATCTTGTAGTTTTAGACTTATTAACTCGGGGAAAACACTTCGGTTTATTTAAAACTTAAAACGTAGTCTCTAAAACTTAAAACGTAGGCTCTAATTCTTAATTGTATCATTTGAAAACTTAATCGATATTGTTTGTTTGTAGTTATTTTCTGTACATACGTTCTGTGTAATTTGGAATCGAGATAAATGATAACAAAGATTTTTTCATGACATTACTAGATCTTTTTTTCTTTTTGTTTCCTTTTACAATTTCATCTAGAATAACATCAACTTAATACTTCAAGTGCAAATGTTTCAGAAAAAAAAATTGTTTTTGTTTTTTGTTTTTTGTTTTTTTTTTTTTTATTATTATATTAAATTTTAAATGAGATTTTTTTTCTATATTTCATTTATTTGATAGAAGTATTATTTGTAGTCAAACTTTTCCCTTGGACAAAAGTTTATTTCCAGATACAAGTGTCTGCTTCAAGATGATGCACGTGTGAGGCGTCTCTTCAAAGCAAACTGAAATCGACACCGGACATGTTAAATTTCATTTGCGAATGATTCATTCAAGTAGATACTTCTAACAGGAAGATTTTCTATTCCCGAACGTTAAAAACTTTAATTTTGTGCTAGAACGAGGGTCCGTGCGTACGCTGAAATACTAGCACATTATATATGTAACTTGACCGAGATATACCAGTAGACTACTTTCCTCGGAGTGTGATATGCAATTGTTTCCGTTGCGATCAAATATACGCTCTGTGTCTAGAGTGCAAAGCATACCGAGGTTGGTACAGTTTTGATATTTTAATCACCATCTTTCATACAACAACTTGGGATGGTTTTTTTCTTGTCCGTTATAAGGGGCCTTCGGCGTCCATTGGCCGAAGAGATTATCGGGACACCTTGTTCATATATGTATTCTAGTAATACACATCCAACGAACATTTGTTTGTTATGATCCGCTGTGTGTAACCTCTATGTAGGCTACCACACAAACTTATATAAATATGGCTGTAAGAGGTTCCCGAGTAAAATGGTACCTACTAAGTCGGAAAAATCACTCATCCATGCCTGGTCCCATTCTACCTGTGGACTCTCATGCCTATGACTCGATAAGCGCTAAAGGGACGTAACCCATGGTATCCCGTGGAAATAGCTGCACATGGACCATACCATCGATCGTACTTACTATATATATATATATATATGTGTGTGTGTGTGTGTGTGTGTGTGTGTGTGTGTGTGTGTGTGTGTGTGTGTGTGTGTGTGTGTGTGTGTGTGTGTGTGTGTGTGTGTGTGTGTGTGTGTGTGTGCGTGCGTAATGATTCCTGCATTTTTCCAGACAATAACTATAGAAAGAAGTATCGTGTACATAAATATATCAGTCATATGGGATTATACAGATTTCAATGAACCAATCAACATTACATCTGTTACATTAGTAAAATATTGGAAAGTCATCACGTGCTGTACATGTGAGACCTTCAAAGCACATGCATAGATAGATCAATTATGATTTATCTTGTTAAGCATATCAACAGAAAAATGTTATCATATATTTCTACATTTCCTCACTTAATCACTACTAATTCTTAATTGATGAAGATACTACTGTGATTGAAGTATCTGATTTGGTCTGATAGTGTCGACACAATGCTTGACAATTGTAATCTTAACGCCATGGTATGTAGCTGTAATGTTGTTTGTACGTGTTGAGACTGTGGTATGTAGTTGTAATGTTGTCTGTACGTGTTGAGGCTGTGGTATGTAGCTGTAATGTTGTCTGTACGTGTTGATACTGTGGTATGTAGCTGTAATGTTGTCTGTACGTGTTGAGGCTGTGGTATGTAGCTGTAATGTTGTCTGTACGTGTTGAGGCTGTGGTATGTAGCTGTAATTTTGTCTGTACGTGTTGATACTGTGGTATGTAGCTATAATGTTGTCTGTACGTGTTGAGGCTGTGGTATGTAGCTGTAATTTTGTCTGTACGTGTTGAGGCTGTGGTATGTAGCTGTAATTTTGTCTGTACGTGTTGAGGCTGTGGTATGTAGCTGTAATTTTGTCTGTACGTGTTGGAGCTGCGGTATGTAGCTGTT